TTGATTGCAAATGTGTTGTAGGACTTCTTTGTGCTTCTAGGAAGTCATTTTGATACTAATCACAGATTAGAGAGAGAGATTGGATAGAAGAATACAATCTAAGAGTAGGAAGACAAGGCATCTCTTTGGGAAACCCTAATCCTTAAGAAGTTGAAACACTAAAATCTCACACACCCTAGAGGGTCCACCATTCTATATATATGATATATAGAGGTACCACACAAGAGAATTCAATCATCCCTAGCATGCAAATTGTACATCTCATTCAGGTGCCAAACAGATCTAGATTTGGAAGCAATAATTGCAGTGGACAATGGCAGCAATGTGACTTATGTTAGAGGAATCAATTTGGCATGTAGGATCAGCCATTAGCAGGAATGAACTAAAAAATTTTGAAAACTAGTCAAATACAACATGGAGACCTTGGGTTTACAATGAGGAAGAAAGAAACATACCTTGTATACCGAACCCTTATTATATTGAACAGAAAGTCCATCCACATTCAAGAGAATCTCATCTCCTTCCTGGAGGTGATTACCATAATCATCCAACATCTACAGTAATAATGGTAAAAAATGAATGTTATTCGAAGCTAAAATGGAAGTGGAACACTGTTATCAATAAGAACACAAAATCAAAGTATACATTATTTTCTCCTAAGTCATGATTGTGTAAACAGTCTACAAAGCGTACATTACTATACAAGTAATGAGGTAACAAAGAATGTGTCTAGCAATCCTGAAAGAAAACTTAATTTTTCTACACTCTAAACAACATATCCCACAACACTCTGAACTGCTCTACAAGCTATAAGATCCAGCCAAAACTAAACCTTCATACTAGATAAAAAATACATAACATTACAAATAACAAATCTGTATCTCTCAAAAAGAACCAAAAATCCTCACAAGTTCTAATAGAATCTTTAATACATTTTCTTTCATATAGTCATTGATTTAATGTTATGCCTAGGCACACAGGTAAGGAGCATTACAAATAACAAATCTGTATCTCTCAAAAAGAACCAAAAATCCTGTCATCTACCGAGCCAACCCAATCAGCARCAGTGTAAATCTCGACTCTCATATGCCCATGCTTCTTGAACAATAGGCTTGTCCCTAGGAATTTATTCAGATATCTCAGTACCCTGTCTGCCGCTTCCAAATGTGCTACCTTGGGAGCATGCATAAACAGGCTGAGAACCCCCACAGAATATGCTATGTCAGACCTAGTCATGGATAAATAGAGCAATCTTCCCACAAGTCTTTGGTACTGCTTTGGATCCTCCAACAGGTCACCACCACAGTCCCCAAGTTTATGATTCACATCTATAGGAGTGTTGGCAGGTTGGGAGCGGGCCACTTCAATTCACATGAAAGAAGAAGAAGAAGAAGAACTGTTTACTGTATTACAGGTTTGAAGAGAAGAAAAGAGAGAGAGAGAGAGAGTGAAGAGAGGAGAAAAGAAACAAGGGGTTCAATGGTGAATGATCTGCTGCCCCATACACTCCTTTATTTATAGCTTTTAGGATCCTTATAAGAATAGCAAATAAACAAAAATTAGAAACAATAAGGCCAGTCAGCCCACCTTAACAGAAATTAGAAACTATTAATAAAAGAAATTAGAAACAACTAGGTGTGGGTATGAAACCACACACACTAGAGCCTGAGTGTGGGTATGGAACCCCACACTCGTGGCTAACCAACTATTTCTTCAAATTCCAAGGAAGTAACACAATGGACCTAGATCCTTCACCTCAAATTGTGTAGCTAGGAACCTTTTTAAACTTTGTATCTCTGAGACCCAATCACCGGTAATGACAATATCGTCCACATAAACAATCAGAGCTGCTGTTTTCCTTTGTTCCTTCTTCACAAAGTGTGTGATCAGATTGGCATTGCTTGAACCCCATTTTTTGAACCGCCTGTTGAAATCTACTAAACCAAGCCCTTGGTGATTCTTTTAGGCCGTATAAGGACTTCTTTAATTTGCACACTTTTTGCTCTTTACCCTTAGCACAAAAACCAGTAGGTTGAGTCATGTATACTTCCTCTTCTAAATCCCCATTCAAGAAGGCATTTTTAATGTCTAGTTGATAAAGCTCCCAGTCAAGGTTTGTCGCCAAAGAGATAAGAACCCGGATATAATTCATTTTTGCCACAGGCGCAAAAGTCTTAGCATAGTCAACACCATACACCTGTGTAAAACCCTTTGCAATCAATCTAACCTTGTATCTCCCAATTGTGTCGTCTACCTTGTGTTTCACAGAGAACACCCATTTGCACCCAACAGGTTCCTTTCCCTCGGGAAGATCCACCAACTCCCATGTGCCATTTTTGTGGAGGACATTGATTTCTTCCTTCATAGCATTTGTCCACTTAGGAGAAAGGAGAGCATCTGTGACACTTTTAGGAACTAGACATTATCAATTTTAGATAGGAAAGCACAAAATGAAGATGAGACATTTTTATAGGATAAGAATTGAGCCATGGGATAGTGTGTGGTGCATGATCTAACCCCATTCCTTTTTGCAAAAGGAAGGTCTAGATCACAATTTGAAGTGTCAATGTCAATGGGTTCAGGAGTTTCAACAGGGATAATAGTACCTAGGTGAGGACATTGATTCAGCTCTTGGCAGTCTGATGGCATTGGTTGCATAGTCTCTGACTGTCCCTTGCCTATTGAACTCTATTGGCCTTGACTCCTGTGGTGATTCGTGGGGATTGGGAGAGATAGAGAGAGAGAGGTACGGTTGAGAGGAAAAAGTCACTACTGGCTACCGCCAGTTTTCTATTCATATTAACTTCATAAAAGAATCAGAAATTACAAGTATGCCCTTGGCGGCATATCCTAGAATCAGAATAATAAGAAAAAGAAGAAAAAAACAACTATAACTGTCCAACAGCCTACTAACAATAGATATAAAGTAACAATTAAGTAAGCCTTACAACACTCCCCCTCAAGTTGGGCTGAAGATGTCTATCATGCCCAGCTTGTCACATAACTCATTGTGCCGCGAGCATGGAAGCCCCTTTGAAAGGACATCAGCAAGTTGTTCATTGGAGTTGACATAAAGGATGCAAATTTCCCTTTTTTCCAGTTTCTCCCTTATGAAGTGTTTATCCACCTCAATGTGCTTTGTCCTCTCATGTAGGATTGGGTTGCTGGCGATGTGTATTGCAGCCTTGTTGTCACAGTAAAGGGACATAGGACTATGAGAAACAACTCCAAGCTCCCCTAGAAGGTTCTTTAGCCAAAGGACTTCAGCCACCCCATGTGCCATAGCTCTATATTCAGCTTGCAACTGGTAAACCTTGGCGTAATGCCTTAGCTCAAAATAGGTAGTTTTGGCCTGTTCCCAAATCTCACTAGCGGTGTCTGCCCACATAAAATTCTTTTTCACATCAGGTTCCATGGCTGCGAGGAGCCAAGACATCACCATACTGTTTTCTTGGTCCCACCTAGCAATTTTAGCCGTCTCACCCTTGGTTCTTTCACCCTTCCATTGATGTAACCAGCTTTACCCCTTGCCGTTACATAGAGTTTTACATTCTTAGCCCACTCCAGGTAGTTCAGACCGTTTAAAGGGGTAATTGGCATGGGAAAAACCATGTTTTCACCTCCCATACCCGCTGTGTTGCGGGTTGGTGTAGCCCCTGGTGAAGTTAATTCATGACTTGCCATCGAATACTACTGAAAACCAATCCAAATACCACCCAACAACACAGCCGCCACAATCAGAATGTGAGCAACTCAGGGTTTACTCCTAGAATGTGAGCAAAAGAACATTAAATACTGCTGAGAACAAAGGGAATATTGCTGAGAACAAGGAGTTCAGTCAACACAACGTCCAGACAGAACAATAAACCAGTATGGTAATCAGTTCAGCACCACCAATACAAACATTACAATCAGTCTGACTGTAGTTCACACACTCTAACCATCCAACGTCCAAACAAATAACTATATAATCAAGGCATGAGCCCTACACACCATCGGCCAAAGAAGGCTGAGACAAACTGAAACAAAAAACACACCTGTTCAGCACTTGTACGAAGGTGCTAATCTAAACTTGACTTCACAACATCGAACGAGTCTGCACCAGCATCGTCCTTCTCCAACTAGGGTTTTCTTGCTATTACGACCAAGAAAAAGAAATCACAAAGGCTGCCGCTAGAAACTGCTAGGGTTTCTGCAGAAACAACAACGTCCAAACACTTTTTTAAAAATAGGGCAGGAGGGATCGTAGGTCTTTTTCACCCCAGAAAACCTACTCTGATACCATGTGGTGATTCGTGGGGATTGGGAGAGAGAGAGAGAGAGAGGAAGAGAGAGGTACGATTGAGAGGAAAAAGTCACTATTGGTTGCCGCCAGTTTTCTATTTATATTAACTTCATAAAAGAATCAGAAGTTACAAGAATGCCCCTGGCGGCATATCCAAGAATCAGAATAATAAGAAAAAGAAGAAAAAAACAAGTAACTGTAACTGTCCAACAGCCTACAAATAGCAACTATAAAGTAACAATTAAGTAATCCTTACAACAACTCCTATAACGTTGTCTTCGAAAGTCACGAAATGGAGGAAGGCCAGGTGGGGAAGGCAACAAGACTAGAGTTTGTTTCTGTTTCTCCTCACCAAGATTCTCGCCCTAACGGGAAATAGAAAAAAAGGGAACATTTTCAAAGAATGAGACATCCATAGAGAGAAAATATTTCCTCGAGACCAGATCAAAACAACAATAACCCTTTTGTGAAAGGGGATATCCAAGAAAAACACGCATAATAGCCTTAGGATCATGTTTACCCGGAGTAGGGGAGAGATCATGGACGAAGCACTGGCACCCAAAGACACGCATGGGTATGGGAAACAATGGAGCCTTGGGGAAGAGGAGCTGGTGAGGGGACATATATTCCAACAACCGAGAGGGCATCCTGTTGATAATATATGTGGCAGTCATAACAACAACAAGCCAAAAACTTTTTGGAGCTTGCATCTGTTGCATCCGCAACTTGCATCCACAGGACATAAAAAAGTTAGAGAGGTCACCATGAAAGTACTCCTTGGCATTGTCTAATTGAAAGACCTAAATCTCTGTCTGAAATTGGGTGTAGACCATTCTTTGAAAATCTTTCACAAGCTTAGGAACTTCTTGTGAGTGCATGGGGTACACCCAAGTGAATCGTGAAAAATCATCAATAAAAGAGATAAAATACTTGTAACCATTCTCAGTTGGAATATTCACAGGTCCCCAAACATCAAAGTACACAATATGGAAAGGAAAATCCAATATTTTATTACGTAATGGAAACGGAGTTTTACAATGCTTCTTAATTGACACACATACTGAAAATCATTGACAGAAACAGACTTAAATAAATTTGGAAATAAGTACTTCAAAGAGTTAAATGACATATAACCCAAACGATGATGACACTAAAAAACTTGACTATTACTAGACTAACTCGAAGACACTGAAACTGCAAGACTAACTTTATTCTCTAGCACATAGAGGCCATCGACCATGTTCCCTCTACCAATCGTCCCCCTAGAAG